AGTTGTAACGCCGCACATTTCTGGAAAATGATTAATTGTGAAATAATAAACAATAGCTATGGCATAATTAACTTACCGTAGGGTAAGTTACAGTAATCGCAAAAAAATCGAAAGTGAAAATGTTTAAATATCTTTACGTTTCAGAGGTTTCTGAACATTTTGGGATACCTTAAGAAATGGATGTATGTGTGTGTGTGCGGATACAAATTTTCGTCGACGATTTCGGGAACACGGATCACCGATTTCAATTATTCAAAAAACAATCGATTGCTGTTGATAAGGAAACGTTCTGATTAGTTTTTGGCGAAGGCAGGTCTTACCGTTCCGAAGGTATGGGGCAAAAAGTGCCAAAAACAGTAACTCAGTTTTTAAGAAAACGATTTACTTGTATTGACAAGGTGAAAAATTGGTAAAATTTTCATGAAGGCAGGTCGAGCGGTTTCGGAGACCTAGTAGAAAAAGTAAAAAAAGCCATTGGAGGTCAAAAATGATTAGACATATGCACATCAAATTATCAGATATTTTATAGAAATGTTAATAAAATATAATTTTACTTACATTCCTATGGGTTCCGTATCAATGTTTTTCCGTTCGACGGCGACGCGGCGCTTACGCGCTTCAAATATTTTCTGTCTATGGAGTTAAAGCAGCACGATTGCTTTGAAAAAAAGTTCAGAAATTCCAAAATATTTCAAAATAAAGAATCATTTTTTTTTCAAAAACAGTAAATTTTGTTAAAAATTGTATAGTTTCTCAAAAATGTTAATTTAAAAAAAAAAAAAATCCATGTAGTTCCATCAATTTGCCTTAAGGCACGATGCCATGCGCCCTACTAGTTTTACTTGATTTGATAGAGAATATTAAAGCATATATCTAGCTTTAAATGTAGAAATATAATTAGTGGATAACAAGATATATTCATTTAAAAAAAATGTTACAACAAGCCACTAGGTCCCATACGCTAGAAGCAAAGTAATCTCCACTTAAAAAAAATATTTCCATTCGCTTAGGATTATAAAATACATTAAAATGATAATGCTACGTAATAAAGAAAAATCATGAAATGCTTGGAGAGAAAAATTGTCGGATTAATAATATATACGGTTATATTATACCCACAAAGTCATAACCGCCTGGGTATTTATAATTTCCCCTTACCTACAAAATAGGTCGACTCTGATTTTTATCATTTTAATTAATAAGAGTAGAGAAATATGCTATTCTAGGCGTGTTATTCAACTTGACATGAAATGTATCTTTTTTAATAATGTAGGTGCAGATGTTTGCTGACGCACAATTTGCTAACATATTACAGTCTATTTTATTAACATTTAGTATATTCATAGTACTCTGTAATAACTAACTGCACGATTTTATAGATGGCAACCTAGACAGTTCCATCTCTATGTGATGAATTTTATTATTTACAATTTCTGTAATAGTAATGATTTTTTTATTAATACAGCAATGAGGGCCTGAGCTTTCTTTATTGAAAAGCTATATCTGATTCAAATCCCATAACTCTAACCACAACACAATGTATTACAAATATTTAACTTACTCTATTATTGTTGATAACTTGCCCAGAATAACTTGTTAATTATTTTTTATTATTAATTA